TCAATCCCTGTGTTGTCCTCACCTAGACTCGGAGCAGCATCCCTGCGGTGGACGTGACGGACAGTTCCTTCCTGTCCAGCCGAGAGGCGAGCACCCACCAACCGTCCCCGCGACCCCCGCCACACCGACCGACACAGACACCGGCCCCACCGCACAAATACCTCACCCTGCAGGCCCCGCCCAAGGTACGGGAGACTGATGGGTCATGGAAATAACATTGATAACAATAACCATAATGATAATGATAGTGACAATTATAACAATAACGATAATGATAACGATAATGACATTGATAACAATAACAATAATGATCATGATAATGACATTGATAATGATAACAATAGCGATAATGATAATGACAATGATAAGATGGTAAATGTGCCTCCTATGGCGAGAGAGATGAGCCTAGTTGAGATAGAAGAGACAACTGCAGTTTCTGAGGCTCCTGAATAGACATAAAGGTCGTGAACATCTAGCTCTCGCTGGCAGCACTGACGGCAAACGAGGCAGGGGTAGGCCCAGAACAACCTACTTGGAGAGCCTAAACAGATGGCTGATGGGGAAAGATGAGGAGAATTAAGTAGCTATTCTGAGAGCATCCAAGCTAAGAAATGAATGGCGAACCATGATCGCCGATGTCTGTCACAGATCGGACACTTGTAGAAAATGAGCAATAGTAGAAGACGCCACGTATGTTACATTTTGCCCGGTACTGGTCGACATTGTAGGTCCTCTGATGGACGCTCGTGGGGCAGGATGTGTCCAACGTGGGCCGGGAAATGTCCGTTACTGTTACAGCGAGTGTGCTGAACTTGTCAATGTTCTTCCCTCTGTTGTAACATTTTCCCCGAGTACCGTGTGAGATTGATGTTGTGAAACTGTTGTCATTTCTGGTTTTGCACGACCTTTTTATGCACCGTTTTTGGTCGTTTTTGTCGCATGTGCTGTGTATTCATTTGTGACTGAGATGGCATTTGATGCACCTATATTATAATAGTAATAATAATTTTGATATTATAATAATAATATGATAATAATGACAAGTAGATTTGTACAATGCCCAACTTTTTGTACGAACTTTCTAACTGAACTTTTCAAAAATAATTTAAATGATAGTAATAGTGATAATGATAATGATACAAATGATGATGATAGTAATGATAATAACAACATGATGATGATGATGATGATAACGGGACTGCCAATAATGTTACATTCTTGTAAAACGGGTGACATTTGCATGACAATGTTGAACTCTTTTCAATCTTGGAGCACTTGGTATGTTTTCCTTCTGCACGGCTGGTGAGGATTCTGTATGTGTGTGTGTGTGTGTGTATGTGTGTGTGTGTGTATGTGTGTGTGTGTGTATGTGAGGATTCTGTGTGTGTGTATGTGAGGGTTCTCTGTGTGTGTGTGTGTGTGTGTGTGTATGTGTGTGTGTGTATGTGAGGATTCTGTGTGTGTGTATGTGAGGGTTCTCTGTGTGTGTGTGTGTGTGTGTGTGTATGTGTGTGTGTGTGTATGTGAGGATTCTGTGTGTGTGTAGGTGAGGGTTCTGTGTGTGTATGTAGGTATGTATGTGTGTGTGTATGTGTAGTGTGTGTATGTGAGGGTTCTGTGTGTGTGTGTGTGTGTGTGTGTGTACGT